TTCAAGGAAATGAATAAAAACCATGACAAAAATATTGGAAGACTTGAGAGGCTACTTTATTCAGGAAGAATAAGCTACACTGCAGAAACAAATATCTTCTTATCCTCCAAATCTCAGTGGCTCAATCTAAGTTTATATAATCACTCACTCATGGCCCTCTTCCATACCTGCTGAAGCCGAAGAAAAGAACTGGACAGCCACACAAGGGCTTCTGCCCATATTTTATAGGCAATAATTAGTTACCATGATTTTGCTTAACTGCAAGGAGCTAAGAGGTAGAGCTCTTACAAATGCCCTTGAAGAAATAAACATTCAAATTGGTGAGCACTAGTGATGTCACTCTGCTCCCACACTGCAAATAGAAGTTTCAGAAGCAATAAGTCAAGAGAATGGTGAAGAACCAATACTGAAAAAAAGGAATCAACAATGCCTGAGAATTTTCAAAACTTAAGAAAATGTTTTCTCACAGAGAAAGTGGAAATTGGAAGAAAGAAAGATTAAATATAAATTCACATTTAGAGTTATCATAACAAGACTAGTACACTTAAAGGATAAAGAGAAAACTTTCAAAGCTTCCTAAAATTATATATATATATAATATTATTATATATAATGACTAGGCTGACAGCCATCTTCTCATCAACTACAATTGAGATCAGAATATTCCAAAATGCTGAAAGGAAATACCTATCAATCTAAAATTATATGCTCAGCTCAAACTAACCTTTAACAGTGATGATATCTTCCAGACATTCAAGGACAAGGAAGAGCACCATCAACAGACACTTTCTACAAAATTACTAAAGGATATATTTCTGAAAGAAGAAAGAAAGAATGGAATGTATAAAGTAGTGACAAAAGTAACTATTAAATATATTTGCAATTATAATTAAACCGAGTATAAAAATTAATTTAGAAGTCTTTAAAAACTTCAGGCATTAGAAAGATAACAGGAAACAGGGGATAGATAGATAGATTGGGGCAGAATTCTTTGCCATGCTCTAGAGGAGGAATTAAATGAATTTAGATGTTACTAGGAAAAAGCATAGTTAAATTTAATTTTTAATTGAAAGCTTTTATGCATTAATATCCTCCAAATCCTATTTTGGGGGGTTTCTATAATAAAAACAATGAAACAAAAACAAATGTTGTTGTTGTGATAGTTTCTTTTTTGTTTAATCATTATGAAGTGCCTAAGGATGGATTTGGCTAATTTAAAAAGAATATTCAATTCGAGGTGCTGAAAAGGGAAAAGTGAGTAAGATTCTATTTTCAGTGACAGCATTTTTAAAGTTAGTATCACAAGGCAGTCAAGAGAGTAATGGAAATGGTGCATCGAATGTCAAGAAGGAGACAACATCCTGGGGCCTAGTGGTGCAAGTACTATCTGAGGCTGGAGAGGCAGTGCACACACAGACAGCAGGTAGGGTGAGGGAAAACAGTTATTTCAGAGAGAGGAAAGTCACTAATCAGGGCAGTGGTATACAGTGTGGGACCAAGGATCAGCCTACCCTTGGCACAGACAATCAAGAGCTTCTTTGCCTATACATCATACAAAACCATTCATAAGGCTGACTAAATGGATGGTCACCTTCTGATCATCACTATTCACCTGTTATTCTGTAAATATCAATGACAAAATATCTTAAAAATAATATTGTGTTCTAATTGATCTAAATAATTGCACAAATATTATTGAGTTTCATAAAAAGAGCCATATACATATTTGTTTCAAACTGGCACTTCTTAAATGAATCTTTTCATTAACATTGTATTCTGCAGAGAAGTTCAGAAAACAACCAATAAACAACTAATGCCTACTGACACAAGTAATTCCTAATAGATGAAGACTAAGCTACACACGTTCATCTCCAGTGTGATTTTTTTTTTTTTTTGATAGTTCAGCACCGTTCAGTTTCCCTTCAGGTGCAATGTCTTCAACAGATGTAGTACTGTCTGTTCCTACATTTAATCAGTAGATGGTAAATGAGCGACGGTAGCACAGTCTTGTACAGAACAAACGGAACTTGAAGTACTTTAATCCTGTCATTCTATGTGACTACTTGGAATTTTTATGTGTGTTTAAAATTTAAACAGTGAAGCAGTACAAACTATAACATGTAACACTTTCATTTGCTAATACAAATTCCATTGCATTTGCGGAATGTTTTATAGTATTTGAATTAAACCTTGAAGTTAAAATATATTCTAATTTCAATGTTGCTTTCAACCTAAAGAACAAATCAAGAAAATAATAGCATTACTGATTATCCTGTGACTATTACCAGAAAATAATCTTGTTATGTAGTGTAAAAGAAAAAAAATCTGCTCCGGGTGTTAAACATGCTAAATATGCAAGCTAGGAAGTATGTAAGGTAGGAAGTCCTGGCTATATGAGGTACAGCGAGTTATATTTACTTCAAATAAAAGCTTTGTAGTAAATATGAAATAGAATGAGGTACAGCGAATTATAGAGTATCTACATAAAATAAAAGAAATGATCTGAATAAATGAGAAGTGTTGTATTTACTCTTGCGGTCATCTCAGTAAATTTATAGAGTCCTAGTTTCACAAAACAGTCAATAGGTTATAATAATTCCTCTATCAGATTCCTTGAAATTCCTCCATCATGGTGATCATATAGGAAGCCTGCTAAAGGTAATATCTCTGGGCCTCATTGGAAAACAAGTCACCCATGGCTGGGGTGCTCTCCAGCCATCCCACTACCTGCTTTCCAAATTCTGCCACTTTGTCCTAGTCCAAGCCCATATTCCCTTTCCTCCTACATCTTCCATCTCTCTTCTAACCACCCATCATATAAGTGCTTTCCTTCTATCACAATCTCTGATGTAAGAAGAATTTTACTGCTGGCCAAACTATAGTGGCTCTTGTGCCTATTCTCCACCCATGGACGACTGACCATAGACCAAAAGAGACATGCTTTTTATTACATTTAGGCTACATTTGGGCACCCAGAGTTCATTCAACTGACAGTAACTTTCCCCTTACTTTCTTGTGCTCAACTCTTCCTTGCTCCTTAAGAAAATAATAGCATTTATTTCTGTTATAAAGCCTTCCCAATTTATCTAGTAATAACTCCTCAACCCATTCGTCCCCACAGACTGTTTCTTACTAGGTAAATGTATTAGTGCAAATAGTGTCTTTTAAGCCTTGGATTTGTAATCTACAAAATGGACCTAACAATGAATCATGTAGAATCCTGAGGGTAAAACGAGGTGAGGAAGTGCATTTCAACTACCTGACATGAATGTTTTAGTTCTTCCATCTCTTAATTCTTATGTGCACAGAAGCTAACAAATATCCCCCTCGAGGCACAGGACTATCTATTTATATCCCCTTCTTCCAGACTCTTACCTCTCTTCACCAGTACTGTGTGGCCTATGAGAGGAAATCAACTTTTTTTTCTCATTCTTTTTAGTTATACATAATAGTAAAATCCATTTTGGCATAATTATAAAAGCAGGGAATATATCTTGTTCTAATTCAGTCTCGGGTACCTCTCCTTCTCCTTCCCTCCCACCACCTCCTGCTCCCTTCCCTCTACTGATCTTTCTGACATTCACTTATAGTATTTTTAAAATTAATTTCTTATAGATATACACAATGGCGAGATTCACTGTGGTACATTCATATATGTACATAGGAAATTATGTCAGATTCTTTTCATTTTCTTTCCTTTCCCATCCCTCCTCCCTTTCTTTCATTCCTCTTTTTCTAATCCACCTTTTATTGTGGGTTAATTTCCATATATCAGAGAAAACATTCAACTTTATAATGAAAAATAAAACATAGTTCCTTGGACTACCAGATTTCTCAAAATCTAATTATTCAATGTTTCCCCAATAAATTAAAAATTACTGTTCCTCCCTCTCTCAAATATAAGTTTTAGAAGCACAAGGTCAAAAAACTAGGAAGCAACTTCCTAAAAAAAGGTTGAAGCTGCCTGTCAAAATTCCCCCAAATTTACCTGTCGCAATTGTCTGAAATATGACTAGCTCTTTAGCTTTCCAATTCTTAGTGTTTATCCACTATTGCTGCTTTACATTTAATTCCTTCCTGAGTTCTACAAAGACTGAGTACAGATTGAGAGCAAAATGTTTGCAATAACAAGCACTGATTATCATGAAAAAAGTTAAATCCAAAACTGCCTGTCCCAAATATGAAAACTAAGTCCAGATTCTAAAATTAGCAAGCAACATGTCTCAATGTGTAATTATGACAAAGTGGAAGAGAGTGACATATGAGAGAATACCTCCCTAGATGTCAAACAAATAAGCATTCGAGTTCCCAACAACACCCAACCTGCCATGTGACCTTGAACAAGGACTTAACCTTCTTCAAGTCCCTATTCTTCCTCAGCAACTGGGGATAATCAGCATCTCAGAATTGGTGTGATCACTAAATAACCTAATGTAATTCAAACACTTAGAGCCATAGCTAACACAGGAGATGAGTTCTATAAGTGAGCACCATTATCATTGTAGTAATTCTGAATGATGTTGAAAAATAATTTTCTTGATTTGTGTTTCTTTTGTATTTGTAAAAGATAATAACTTAATTTACTTTACAATGTAATTCTCTCTTTTTAACTTTTTCAATTGAAAGAATGATACACAAACCATCAATATACAGCTTGATAAATTTCCACAGCTTGGCACATCATGTAAATTTTACCCAGATGACATTGCTAATGGCCCAGGAGCCCCTACTTTTCCTCACATTCAGGTCCAAACTCAAGGGAATCAATACTAATAATTTCTTAGACCATGCACTAGTTTTGCCTATTTTTGAACTTTACAAGAATTATACTGCACATAGTTTGCTGGGTCTGAGTTTCCTTCACTCAACAATTATATCCAAGATCTACCCATGTTGTTGTGGGCAAATGAGTAAGTTTTCCAATTATATACTTACAAAACTAAAATTTTTTAAATAGCCCTCGGAAAATAAAGTCATAGCTCTATATTACTTATCCTTACCTGCTTGATTAATAAGCTACAAATACAGTCCAAAAACATCAGGTATATAGTGGCACTCGTTGACTTTCATATAAAGTAGTTTTTAAAAAATAATTTCTGGCACCGCCTCTTACTGCTTTTCATATTCAGTATCCTGCACACGGAGACCATCTAAGAGAAGACGGAAGCTCATGAAACAGGAGAACACCACAAGGAGATCCATATGAACAGTAATTACTGTTCAAGTACATCTGAACTGTCATGAACAATAAGACCTTTGGGTTTTGTTCTGCCAGGCATAACAAGTACCTCCAATGTCACCCGTTTCCAAATTTGACTCCCACATGGGACAGAGGAGACTGGTGACAGATGGGCAAAATTTAGCATGCAGCTTGGACGGTCTTTGGGATGGAAGTCTTGTTATCTCTAACTTGCTGCCAAGTCCTGCATGTTGCTTTATAACAGACACCACTGGGAAACTGTGTAGCCTCAGCCAAAATCACAGACTTGAAAGAACCAGATCTCCTCACTGTTGGTGTCTGTAACATCTCACCCACATCGGGCTCCGCTGCAGTAATGAAATAGTCACCAGTAGGCACTGGAATGTGAAAAAGCATTTTGACACACCAGACTGGATTTTTTTTAGACTTAGGACAGGGGCTTATTGGATAGGAAATTCGTCATTTCTAAATCAGTTCTTCTTTGTTTTACTGAAGTATTTCAAATTCATTAGTCTTAAGGACAGATCTTACTACAAATATAGATGCTTTTAAACAACAATATAGATGCTTAAAGTTGAATATCAAAAACTAGTGAACACATTTTAGGTATACCTAATCTAAACAGAAGGAAATAATTTTTAGAATACTGGCTACTACCTATTGAGTTATATAGAATTAATTATTAATAATTCATGAATAAATTAACCATACAACTACAGTCTTCAGGCCCTTCTGGTCAGTTTATAGCAAGTAAATGTGCTATAAAGCATTTCCTGATTGATACATAGAAACATACACATTTCAAAATGAACATTTTGGATTACACACCCTCTCTATATAAATATAATTTGCCTATATTTGAGTTAGTTCCATAGTTAAGAGTTTTTTCCTAAATCTTGATTAAGAATCTGTTTTTAGGGGGAAAAAGGCAGGAAAATATTTTAGCTATGATTTTTATTAATAAAACATAAAATGATGTTAGAATAGACTCTCATTAAAAAAAAAAATTCTTTTATGGATTTAATGACCTCCTCTCCACTAGGCTAGAAAATAGTTATCTACTTCAAACAATCTATTCTCTATATCATCCTTCAGTGTTCTCCCTCCTCAAAATATATATCCATTACTACACTCATTGTAGGCAAGCTCTCTACAACTGAGCTATCTGCAGTATATTTAGCTGCAAATAACATAAAATAGTACTTTAACAAATATAACCAATGCTCAGATGTAGACATTTTAACTATTAGTCAGCTACTAAATAGAGACACCTGGGATCTGGGTATTTCTTTGTTTATGCCCTGCCTTTTTAGGCATATAAACCTGTGACCAATAAGATCTGAGAGTGAGTCAGGGCTGGACACAGTGGTGGCCTCCTGATGCAGCCTCCTATTCTGGAGGCTGAGGCAAGAAGATCACTTGAGTCCAGGCATTAAGGCAAACCTGGACAATATGGCAAGACCTGATCTCAAAAACAAAATCAACAAAAATGAAAACAAATGAGAGTCTAAAACAAAAATAAAACGAAGGTAGTCATGTCGAGCTTTATTCTTAGCTGAAGAAAGGATGTAATACTTAGAGGTGTAACAGCCACCTTGCAACCATGATTCAGAAATGCCTTAAATAACTGAGTTTATTTTCCACAACCAGAAGTATAAGGTAATTCTACACTAGTCCAACTTCTAAATGAGGCAACAAGCAAAAAAAAAATGAAAGCTAAAATACCAAGGGCGGATAAGCCAAGGGTGGGTGCTCCCTTTTATGAAGAAAGTAAAGGCTTTTTCAAGAGCTACCTTGCTCTGCTTGCTCTTAGATCTCACTGGTAAGATGGGATCACATGGCTGGGAAAGCAGGGAAAGTCAATGCCACACAGGACTGACATTGTCTTGGGCTAAACAAGAAAGAAAGGAAATGGTGGGTACAAGTAGCATGTTTGTCACAAAATCCTTCTAAATATTTTTGCACAGCAGAACTACTAATTGTGTGATCCAAACTGTCCCTTTAAAACCATACCTGCCATGATAACAATGCTAAAGTAGATCATGTAAACCCAATTCACTATAACATCATAGCAGCCTAGTTTGAACATGAATATCTTATTATGTCAGTGTATTTCACTACATGTCAGACCAGCATTTTATAAACATTTTGCATTTACCATTATCAGTCTGAGCTCACTAATGTGGCAATACCAGAAGAGCTCACTATATATTATCCCAGAGTTCACATTTCAGAGGATCCTAGAATTACTTCCACCATCCCAAGTTCTCTCTGAATCCCGAGAGTCAACTCAGAGGAGAAAGAATCTTTAAAATGTCTCTTGAGCCTGCTGCATTCTTATGCCCACACCCCGAAGGCAGTTCAAAAGGTCCCTGAAGTTAACTCTGAGTTCAGTGGCAACCAGCCAGTGAAAGCTGTCGTGTGATGCTGGTAGCTCCCTGCATTCTCTGGAGATGGCTCGATTGACATGAATCCACTACCTGCTAGAATAATCTAATTATACCTAAAGGTTTCAACTGAAAAGGCTTTATTCCAGGTCCCTGTCACTTTCCCTGTGGGTGAAGTCAGCTATCCAGTGACTTTCAAACACTCTCTGCATGTGGCTTTGTAACACATGAAGAAGTTCCTGAAATGTCAATCCTAAGGGACAAGTGTTCGTGTCACTGAAGCAATACATCATAACCTCTGCACTTTATGGATCTTTCAGACAAAAGCCAAAAGCTATGAAGGCCACGATGAAATTATTCCCGCTACCCAAGAGCTGATATTTCCAAAGAGAAGTGTATGTATGTTAGCAGTTGTGGGGATGAATTTGCACTATAGTAGCTCCTACAAAGCCTGTCCTATGAATAAAAAGCCCTCAGTTTCTAAAGCCTGAGAAATCTGGTAGCATTCAGAGCATATGGATATTCATTTAAATAAGAAAAAAAAAGTTAAAAGTGTGATATTTCTTTTAACCCACAATTTTACAGCTGGAAGAAATCTTTTCCACTCTTCGATGGCATAATGTGACAATCTAAGCAACCATGCTTAAGGTCTGTAAATTCACCACTTTTCTTCTACTACCAAATTCCAAGATTTATTAAACATCTCCTTTCACACTACTCTGGGTTTTATGAGCCAACCAGATTTGACCTTTAAAATGATAGAAGCATCTGGATTATTTCAATTGATTTTCCTACTAGCATTTTTTTAGTTCCCTATTATAATTCTAATTTCTATATGGCTCAAGACATAAAATATGGGTTCAGGGACTCCAGAAAGATGCCTATTTCCATTTTTTAATTCATTAAGATATATTTAAAACTCTAGACCCATAAGTACTGGTGCATTATCAATAGTACTGGTGCTAGATATCACACAGATATCTTTCATACCTAGCTCCTGAATTAATCCCTCTAGTGCTGATTTTAATTCACAATTCTCAATCTTCATCTCTCTCAGAAATTCTCTTTCATACCCTAGACACTGTTCTAAGTGCTAACACCATTCTGGCCCAAACTCAAAATTATTAAAATCGAAGATATAGAAAGGAAAGCATGACTTGGGCCCCTTGCTATATAACTTTTAATCATACACACTCAGAGTTTTTATCTCAAAATCTCAGAGGGAATCTTCTTAATGGGGTTCTGTAATCACAACAGGTCAACACAGTGTAAAAGAGTCCCAAGGCACAGTTGGAAGGTTCATTTCAGGGTCATAAGACCATCTCGTCTCTGAGTAGATGGAGTAACACTGTAACTTTCCTTGTGAACACTCACATTTACTGGATTTGCTAAAAATTGATTTGCAATCCCAGGTCATCTGTTTTCTCCTAGTCCCACATGTTCTGAATATAAAATAGGAAAACTAATGGTAACGGTTCCAGTACTTGGGATTCTTGCTGTGAACAAGTAAAAAAAATAATAATTGTTTCACATTTTGTAAAGTCACTATAATGCAACATGTCCCCATGTATTTGTGTCATTGCAGGAAACAGGATGAGAAAATTATGAGAAAACACCAACATGTAGGCAATCTGGATTCTGGCCTCTTTTCAACCATTTACTAATGTTGGCTTAAGCAAGATGTTGTCTATTCAGTAAGGACAGATGATTTTGTAGAATCCTTTTCCTTCATTGGGTCACTCGACCATTTCTCTAACCTTTCAGCAAACATGTAGCATTGTGTTCAGTATTGTGCTGAGTAATGAGGATACAAGAGGTAAAATGGTTCCACTGTGCTGTGGTCCTCTGCCAGCAGAGAATCTCAGAGTGTTACCAGGGACAGTGGCACACATCTGTAGTCCCAGTGACTTGGGAGGCTGATGCAGGAGTATTACAAGTTCAAGTATAGCCTGGGCAACATAGCAAGACCCTGTTTAATTTTTTTTTTTTTTTTAAGCAAGGTAGTGGGAGGAGCTGGGGCTGTAGCTCAGTGGTAGAGTGCCCCTGGGTTCAATCCCCAGAAGAGAGAAAAAAAAAAAAAAAAAAAAAGAATCTCAGTGTTGTTCTTGACAAGAACATAACTAGGATAGACAGAAAATATATTAATTTTATCAATATCACCAAGTTCTCTTATTTCTCCTATAAAACAAAGACAAATGCACTTTACCTAATATGAGAATAATTAGTATAGGCAAATTATCTATATTTATAGTACATAAATAATGACTAATATTTATTTTGAGCTCATTATATTTTGAAACATCCATTTAAATGCCTTATATGCATTATCTCATTCAGTCATAACAGTTTAAGATGTAAAGTAGTATTTTTATCTCATTTCTTGGATTTATCCAGATTTGTTAGCTTACGCAAGTGTTACCAAAATTTGTAGCTAGAGGCCTGCCTGACTCCAAAGCCCAGTTTTTTGAACTTGTATGTAATGTAATTTCTAACTTCCTGTATTTCTCAGAAAAACCTGTTTCATTATTTGTACACATTCATGTTAGTATTTAAAGAATCGATTTTGAAGGCAGAGAATTTTGCAGAATTGGAAGAGATTTTAGAAAGCATCTAGTCTAATCTATTCATTTATAGTGAAAACACAGGCCTTGAAATTAGGGTTATAAATACATGCTGAATGAAAAGTTAAAAGGAATAAAGAGAAAAGCTGAATAGGGAAAAGGAAATGAGGAATCTTGCATTATTCCTTTTCATATTCCCAGTACTTACTACAGTTCTTGGTAAACAGTGAAAACTCAATATATGTTTGGTCAACTGGACTTGTTCCATTCTACAGATTTTTAAACTAGAGTCTCTCAATGGTCAAGAGAGGCCTGGAGCACTTCACCTGCTTGAGGCTTGCAATCTATGAAAAATGGAAGAATGACACAACTATGATATGTATTTAAATGTTTAATCCTGCCAGTTGATCTTTGTAAATTTAATGTATGGGTTTCCAGCTAATGTGTGATAACGTGTTACTCTACAATACCATCTCCTGTCAGCCTAGCCACAACTTTATGGACTTGGTATATTATAATATCCAATTATAAAAAACAAAGAACTTAGGCAACCTCTGCCATGTTCATACAGTTTAAAGTGATACAACATTTTGTATCTGATCTCCTTAGACATCAAAAAAATCTGAAAGAGTGTTTATGCAAGAAATGTTTGTTACCAAATGCAAAAATCACACAAATTTCAGAGAGATAAAATTATTAAATTGTCAGTGTAGAGAACCATGAAATGTAAAATAAAAGGTAAATCAAAATAAAATTCTCTCCTATTGTGTTCTACTAAGTTTGCCAATTTAATCAACATATTTGGAGACATTGTGAAGATTGTCCTTTTAAAATACAGTTAATAGAAATAGTACTAAATTATGTGGATGCTTAGAGATTCCTCATGTGTTGATTACCCAGATGCATGTTAGATTTTGCAGGAATTAGATTTGATATTATCTCCTTATTATGCAAAACCATGGAAAACATTTAATTAAAACTTAATTAAAATCTCCATGATGCTTCAACCCCATGGAGTCCATTTTTCAACAACAAGCAGGAAAGAAAGCCTCCAGGACAAACTGGTTTTGAAAAATGCAGCATTGGAATTCGCTTTTCTCAGTACCTGTATCATTCTAACAGATTTTACAACTTCACATTTTTTTCCATTTTTCATCAGCCTTTAAATAAGCGACTGACTAATATTAGAATCATTCATTATAAGTAAGTGTATAGATTTGGACCAGTAACTAATGCCTCCTTTCTTTGACAGCTTTTCGTATCATTTGAAAACCGTGAAAAAATTCATATACTACTATGTCTGTCACACAGTAGGGCGCCAAAGAATTAGAGATCTCATAAAATTAATAAATTTTAGATGTATATTAACAATGCTAAGACCCTGATACAATTTTTATCCCAAAATATGGGCACTGTCAGCTGTCATTATGATGAGAATATTTTTATCAAGAAATACCTTCAGTGATAGGATATAGTATAGTTGTAATTGGTCTACATGGAGGAGAAAAATCCTTTAAACGAAGCCTTAGCCAAATAATAGATGAGAATATGTTCAACATTATTAGCAATTAAGGAAATGCAAATCAAAACAATACTGAGATTTCATCTCACACCAGTCAGAATGGCAGTCATCAAGAATACAAATAATAATAAATTCTGGAGAGGATGTGATGAAAAAGGAATGCTTTTACATCATTGGTGGGATGGAAAATTAGTACAATAACTATGGAATTTGGTCTGTAGTTTCTCAAAAGACTAGGCATGGAACCACCATCTGACCCAGCAAAACTACTCCTCAGTATTTATCCGGAAGAATTAAAGTCATCATACTACAGTGATACATGAATGCCCATGTTTACACCTTCACAATTAACAATAGCCAAACTATGGAACCAGTCTAGGTGTCCATAAATGGATGAATTTAAAAAAAATGTACTTATATGCAATGGAATTCAACCATTAAAGAAATGAAATTGTAGCATTTTCAGAAAAATGGACAGAACTAGTGTTCATTATGTTAAGTGAAATAGGTCAAAATCAGAAGATCAAGGTTGAATGTTTTGTCTCATATGCAGAAGGCAGATAGGAAAAAGGAAAAGAAAGGTGGGGGTGGATCTTCTCAAACTCAGCAGAGAAAAGGGACCAAAAGTAGGGAGGGAGGGGGGGAAATGCTGGGGAAGTGATACTGGCCAAATTATGTTGTTATATTCTGTGAATGTATGAATATATAACAACAAATCCCATCAATATGTACAAATATAATGTAACAATAAAAAATGTTAAAGGTGGAGCCTAGTGGGAGGTCTTTGGGTCCACTGGGGGTGTGGCTTCAGTCAAAATTTTTGAAGCCCAGCCTCTCTAGCCCCATGAGATGAGATGGTCTACATTTGACAGGCTGTATGTTACACAGATACATGCAACTTTCCAAACCTACAGAACTGTACACTTAGGATCTGTGTGTTTGACTGTGTGTAAATTTTACTGCATGTTTTAAAGAATTAGTATGTGTATCACATACAATTCCTCTTGAGGAGATTCATCCTTGGAATACTATGTGTCTGTTGCACAGAGGTTCTGATACTTCTTTTATAGAACTATATTTAGCCACCACAACACATTTCTCTGGTATCGATGGCAGAAATTTCCTACAAGTGAAATTAACTTTCAGAAATACTCAGCACCATTCAGGGTCAAATCTGCACACACAAATGGTTAAGCTGGAAAAGAACTGTTTTAGTTATCCTGGTGGAGCAGTGGCTAATTCAATGAGGCTGATTTTTCTCACAAACTGATTACTCACACACAAATACACACACAAGCAACCCCAAAACTGATTGATATGATTAATCCAATTTAAGCATTCCAAAACCTTCTTGGGTAAATATGGAATCCTTTGGTTATATGTGGTTTAAAAGTGTCCAAGCCATTCTGTGTCAATTCTTTAAAGGGAGCAACTTCAATCATGTTTGGAAGGAATGGCAGAGTAAAGTATAATTGCACTGATAAGATAATTACACCTATTTTGTGACACACATACACACACACTATGGTTTAAAATAGATCTATACTGGGGAAGAAATATCTCATATTTTTGTCTGATTTAATATCTCAGAGACAGATATTCTCAGATGAAATTTTAATTTGCAATTATGCTCACATTTAATCCCTCCTAATAGAAAGAGGTCTTCTCTATTAAAATTTATTTACCATCTAATATGTATAATACAGCCATCACATTTGTCTCCCTGTTGTCTCTCTACAACCAGACTAAAACACAATAGAATTAAACTTTAACTTGCTAAAGGTTATATGGGATAGCATTATATGGGATAGCGTTCTCCACTATCAGTGTCTTGTTTTTTTCCATTAATGGGTTGGAAAGGATAGATTCTCTTGTCACATAGCCTATGTTAGCAAAAGAAAAGAAGTAGACCATCAGCAAGATGTCTGACAAGAAATGTCTGGTATGCTTTCCCCCAACAAAAAGAACCAAAACAAAGAAAAAGCTTCACCCCTACTGCAGTGTTTGAGACAGAACACAAGACTGTAGGGGATGGAACGGAGATGTTTGAAGCACAGAGACTCCTGATGACCTTATAAAAATGGGAACTAAGAACACAGCATCTACTGTTCTGTCTCTCCAGTGAAGATCAACTAAACCAAACCGGACTTCACACAGTGGAGAAAGGATAAGCAGAAGGACCTTAGCAGTACTTGCTAACACCACAGACAACTGAAGTATTTGCTGCTCAGGAAGTCTGCAGAACTCACAGATCACCCCTAAGCCCACCTTAGGGAGTTGCTGGGAAATCTGCACTGCTGTATGCCCCAGAAAAAGAGCTTAACCCATGCTGTGCCCTTCCCAACCTGGGCTCCTGCTGGACAGGGTCATCTTGAGATCCTGACCATTCAGAGGCCTATGAAGCAGCTGGAAGAGTGCCCCCAAAAGCTCAAGCTACAGGGTCCTCTGAACTATCCATATAGCTATCCTTACCCTCCTGTGTCCTGGGAAGAGGCCAGGCAGTCTTTCCTGAGTGGCTTATCTACAGGGCATCCAGGAGGTAGCTGTGCAACCCACCCTGAGCAGTTTGTCCTGCCAAGGCCTCCAGAAGGCAGCTAAGTGATCCTGTACACACACACCCTTAGACCCAGGTTATACCTGGGGAGTGTACTTTTAGATTTGACTCTTAGGACCCTGAGAAGACACTTGCACAAGTCTCCAACACTGATGGCTGTCACGGTTAGACCCACTGGTACAATCTGGTCCCCATGTGGCTCTCAGACACTGACAGGAACCTGGCCTCCACTACCTGGCACAATGTGCCATGCTGGCTGGACCCACTCAACGAAACTAAAGGGTTTTCACCCCCCACTCAAGGAAACTAACGGGTACCCTGAAGGTCACAGGTGACTTGTCACAGGACAAATCCAGAGCCACTGGTAAATTAGCCCTACCCGACAGAGCTACACCCCCATTGTTTGCCCAATCTCACAAACCTCAGCAGCCTTGGCTACTGAGACATGCAGAGACATCACCAATGATGATTACAGCTGAAACAGCTACAAAAATACATCATTCCACCTGGAACCACAGCCAACACAGCCTACCCAACACAACACCCTGGGACAAGGCTCCAGGATGAAATCTTCACTATGAAAGCTGACCTATAAATTTGGCAGGGGAAATGGATCTGCCAGATGTGCAAATATCAATGTAATGACACAAAATGCATGAAAAAGCAAAGTGACATGACACCTCCAAAGTAACATAGTAACTCTTTAGCAACAGAACCCAAAGTAAAGAAAAATTGATGAACTGCCTGAAAAACTCTGCAAAAGAACTTGAAATAACCATTTTAAGGAAAGTTATTGATACTCAAGAGAATACAAGTCAACAAAATTAGGAAAACAATTTGTGATCAGAATGAAAAATTCAGCAAAGACATAGAGATCATAAAAGAACATATTTTGGAGCTGAAGAACTCAATAAATGAAATAAAAAATGCAATTGAGAACCTCAAGACTAATTCAGACAGGAGCAATCATCTCTGAACCTAATGACATACTATTTTTCCAAAATTACTCACAGAAAAGAACAACAAGAAAACACTAAAAAGTATGAAAAAAGCCAACAAGATTCATGGGATGCAACTAAGTAAACAAATAGTTGTATTATTGGTGTTTTCAGAAGAAGAGAGGGGAACAGCATAGAAAAGCTATTCAAAACAAAATAATGACTGTAAACTTTCCAAACACTAGGAAGGATACAAACATTCAGGTGTAGGAAGCTCAAAGATTCCAAGTAATTTTGTCCTAAAAAGGACTTTTGAGGTATATCTAGCCAGACTGTCAAAAGTACAAGACAAAGAATTCACATAGAAAAGAATTTCCATTAGACAGATCTCTCAGTATAAACCTTACAGTTCAGGAGAGAAGGACATGATGTGTTCAAATTCCCCCCAAAAAATAAAATAAAATAAAAACCTGCCAACCTAAGATATTTTACCCAGCAAACTATTCTTCAGAAATGAAGGAAAAATTAAATCTTTCCAAGACAAGCAAAAGCTGAAGGAATTCATCACCCATAGAATGAACCTTACACATATATTTAAGGAATCCTACACTAGAATTACAAGAACAATAACTGCCATCATAAAAACATATGGAAATATAAAACTCACTAATATAGCAGATATATAAAATAGAAAGAGAAAAGAATCAAATCTTACCAATACAGAATACTACCAAATCCCAAAGATAAACAATAACACAGGAAGAAAGGAACAAAGAATATACAAAACAACTACTGGAATCAACAAAAGACAAAAGCATGTCCTTATTTATATATAATAACTGTGACTACAAATGAATTTAAATCCCAACAAAAATATTAAGACTGAATGGATTTAAGAAAAAGGACCCAATAATATCTTACCACAAAGAAATTCCCTTCACCAGTAAAATACACATAGACTGCAAATGAAAGGGTGGGAAAAGGTATTCCATGAAAAAGAAAACCAAATGGAGCAGGAGTAGCTATATTTATATCAGATAAAATACGTGTTGAGGTAGAAACTATAAAGACGGATAAAGAGGGCTTGAGGTAGAATGCTTGCCTAGCATGCAGGAGGCCCTGGATTCAATCCAAGAATGAAAGAACAAAAGAGAGAGAGAGGGAGGAAAGGAGGGAGGGGCAGAGGGAGGGAGGGAAGAAGAAGAAGAAAGAAAAGGAGGGGAAAAAAGGAAGGAAAAGAGGGAGGGGAAATAACTGTAAATACATATGCAGTCAACATTGGAACTCTAAATTACATGAAGCAAACACTATTTGATTCAAAGGGAGCTATATACTCCAATACAATAATAATTCTGAACTTTAACATCCAACTTTCAACAATGGACAGATCATCCAGATAGAAAAATTTTTAAACTTTTGGACATATACTGCATTTCAGACCCAGTAAAGCTGGCAGATATTCACAGAACACTTCATCCAATAGCTATAAAAGACACTTTTTTTCTCATCTACACCTGGAACATCTCCAGGCTAGAAAATATGTTAGGTAGCAAAATAAATCTCAACAAATTTTTAAAAAATCAAAATCATATCATTAATCTTTCTCTGATTATAATGGAATAAAACTAGAATTCATCAATAAGAGAAACTTTAGAAATTGTACAACTATATGGAAATTAAACAATGTGGTTATTTATGATGACAAATATGTCAATGAATAAATCAAAAGGGAAATTAAAATCTTAAAACTAATGAAAATGCCTATGCAACATACTAAACCCTATGGTGCACAGCAAAATGTGCTAAGAGGGAAGTTTACAAAATGCTTGATTTTACTACAACAAAACCATAAACAAAAAACAACTTTTAAATAAAATCATAACAATACAACTCAAGGAATTAGAGAAGAAAAAACAAGCTAAATCTAAAATTAGCAGAACAATGAAATAAAAAAATCAACACAGAAATAAAACAAAAACTAAAAGAAAATTCCAAAAGATCAATCAAAAGTTGACTTTTTGAAAAGAAAAGGAAAATCAACAAACTTTTTGCTAGATTAACCAAAAACAAAAAAGAGCTGGGCATGATGGCACATGCCTGTAATCCCAGCAACTCTGGAGGCTGAGGCAGGAGAATTAAAAGTTTGAGGCTAGCCTCAATAACTTAAGGAGGCCCTAAGCAATTTAGCAAGCAAGATTCAATCTCAAAATACAGGGCTGGGGATTTTGCTCAGTGGTTAAGTACCACTGGGTTCAATTACCTGGTACAAAAAAAAAAGACTTAAATATCCAAAATCAGAGATAAGAAAAGGATGCTGATATCACAGAAATACAAAGGACAAAGGATCATAGGGAAATATTATGAACAACCATATAGCAATAAATTGGAAAATGTAGGGAAACAGATAAATTCCTGGGTATACAAAACCTACTGAAATTGAACAATGAAGATGTAGAAAACTTGAACAGACCAACAATAATGAATGAAAAAAAAAAAGTAATGAAAATGACTCAGTAATAAAAAGTCTCACAAGAAAGAAAAACCAGGACAGAATGGTTTCAATGTTGAATTTTACCAAACTTTTAAGGAAGAACTAACAATTCTTCTCAAAACTGAAACTAATAATTCTTCCAGAAAATTGAATGGGTGGAACATTTCCAAATAATTCTACACATCCTGATATTTAACCAAAAAAGAACATAATAAGAAATAAAACCACAAACCAATAACTCTAACGAACACAGATATAAAGATTCTCAACTAACAAACACACTCAAAAGGCACATCAAAAAAGATTATATACCACAATCAATTACTTACTTCAGGGATGCAAAAGTGATTCAGCATACATAAACAATGAACAATATACCACATCAACGGAATGAATGACAAAAAACAATGTCATCTCAATAGATGCAGAAAAAGCATTTGATAAATTTCAACATTCTTCATGGATACCCTTCAATGAATGGGAACATAACTTGGTGCAATAATAGCTGTATAGGACAAAGTCACAGCTAGCTTCACACTGAAATACAGAAAAACTATTTATTTCCCTCTAAATTCAGAAAGAAAACAAGATGTCCACTTTCACTACTTTTATTCAACATAGAAGTGTGTTAGAGAAGTAAAACAAATGAAGAAAGAAAGAAAATACAAGTAGAAAAGGCAGGAATCAAATTATCCCTGTTTGCAGATGACATAATTTCATATATAGAAAAACCCAGACTTCTACCAAAAACTGTAAGAACTGATACACAAATTCAGTAAAGTTACAGAATACAAAATCAACATACAAAAAAATCAATAGCATTTTATACATCAATTATGAACTTGATGAATAAATCAAGAAAGGAAGCCCATTTATGATTAGCTACAAATATACATACTTAGGAATAAATTTAACCAAGGAAATAAAATATCTCTAAAATGAAAATCACAGAATCCTGGTGAACAAAAATTGAAGAGGACTCACAAAAAAATAGACATTCCATGTTTATGGGTCATATTTAATATTGTTAAAATGTCCATACTACTCAAAGAAATCTACAGATTTGATGCAGCCCACAACAAAATACCAATTTACATTCTTCACAGAACTGGAGGAAAAACAATTCTCAAACTCATATGAAGCCACGAAAGAGCCTGACTAGCTAAAGTAATCTTAAGCAAAATGATCAAAGCTGGAAGCATCACAATACCTGACCTTGGGACATAGTACAAAACTAGAGTGGCCTGCACAGATTTGCACAGGCATAAAAACTGACACAGGGATCACTGGAAGAGAATAGAGAATCCAGAAATAAATCCACACATTTATAATCCATTGACTTTGACAAAGGTCCCAGAAACATACATTGGTAAAGGACAGTCTTAATAAATGGCACTGGGAAAACTAGATATTCATATGCAGAAGAATGGAACTATAGACCCTCATCTCTCTCCAGTTACAAATTCAGCTCAAAATGGATCAAATACCTAAATGCAACACCAAAAACTATGTAACTGCTAGAAAAAAAAGCATAGGGAAGCACTTCAAGATATTGGCATACACAATTTTTAAAATATGACCTCAAAAGCACAAGTAACCAAAAAATAGGCAAAGAGATTATATCAGACCATTAACAGAGTGATTAGATAACCTATAAAGTTAAAGAAACTACTTGAGAACTATTCATCCAACAAGGAGTTGATGTTGAGAATATACAAGAAACACACAAACACAACCCTGATTATAAAATAGACCAATGATCTGAATACACATTTCTTAAAAGTAGATATATAGATGGCCAACAGGTACATAAAAAAAAATGTTCAACATCACTAATCATCTGGGAAATGTAAATCTAAACCACAACCAGGTATCATCTCACCCCAGTTAGAATGACTATTAAAAAAAAAAAAAGACAAAAATAATGCTGACAAGGATGTGGAGCAAGGGAAACCCTTGCACATTATTTGTATGAATGTAAGTTAGTACAACCATTATGGAAATTAGTAGGAAGGTTGCTCAAAAAACTCAAATAGAACTACTATAATACAACCCAGGTATCTCAACATTGGATAAATATCCCAAGGAAGTGAATTCAGTATGTGGGAGTTATACCTGCACTCTTGTTGTTTGACAACAGTATCCAAATAGACAAACAGAATCAATTGTCATGTCTACTGATGAATGAATGAATGAATGGAAAAAATATTTATGTATACAGAATGGAATAATACTGAGCCATAAAATGGATTAAATACTGTGATTTATAGGGATGGAACTGGAAGACAATATGTTAAGTGAAACAAGCCAGGTTTCAGAACTAGCTTACAGAACGTGTAAGACAAATACATGTTCTCAATCATACATGGAAGCTAAAAAAATTGATTTCATAATAGTTGATAATAGAAATCATTAGAGGTTAAGAAGTCGGGGGGGCGGGGAGAAGGTGGACATGATGGAATTGAATACCAGGCAGCAAAATACAATGACACAATGAATAAACTGTAGCATTCTGCAACACAGTAGGGTTGCTACAGTTCATAATTTTATATTCTAGAAAGAACTAGATAGGAAGCATTTAAGGTTCCCATGAAAAAGAAATATTAAATGTTTAAGGAGATGAAATTCTAATTGCACTGGTTTGATCATTATATATTGCATTTATGTATCAAATAAATCACACTGTATCCCATAAGTATGTACAATTCTTATGTGTCAATTAGATAAGGAAGGAAGGAAAGGAGGGAAGGAGGGAGGAAGGCAGGAAGGAAGGAAGGAAAAGGGGGAGGGAGGAAAGAAAGAAGGGAGGAAATGAAAGATGCAGCTATCAGAATGACCAGAGTACGGTCCTTAAAAAGAATTGGATATATAAACATAAATGGGTTTTATGCAATAATAAAGCCTTTGGTAAAATAGATCTTGGAAACCTGAGTTTACCTTCTTATGATCAATTTGGTTCAGGCTAAAAAACAAAACAAAACCCTCTAATTTTAAAAGTTAAGTTTTTCAAAATAAACAACCTACTTGAAGTTCTAGTTATCTATTAGGGGGCACTGGTACCAAAGTCAGAGTTCCAGTTTCTCTGTGCTAAATATGAAAGGTTTGAACTAGGTATCCTTCAAAGTTCCTGACGATGCTGTTGTCATATTCTTCTATTTGTCTCCTTGATCTAAGTAAAACAGTAACCTAAAACCAATTAAAATTGCCAGTTATTGCCTTAAGTCAGTGCCACACAACATAAGCAAATGACAGTGCAATGTAGATAGATAATCTTGAGATGCCTCTACACAAAATCTGTACAGAGATCTTCAGAGATTAGATAAATACATCCTAGGGATTTTAAAAGAACTTTAGGATAATTGTCTGCTTCTGACCACTGTAGTTACAACTTTATTTTCAAAAAGTTCTGCTTTCCTATTTCACCATCCAGTGCTGCCTAATGATAATAATTCAATCTAAACTGCAACCACTCATTGTCAATAAGTTACTTTTTATGTCAAAGATAAAGAATGTTGTCCATCAATCTCCTTTTCGTGGAGTTAACAATCCTCACATGGTTTTTCCTGTGGGTATTCTTTTCAAATAACTTCTCAAACAGCGTCCTGTTTTAATCTTTGTGCTCACTCTCCAAGTCTGTAAGACCA